CCCCAAAACCCCAAAACCCCAAAACCCCAAAACCCCAAAACCCCAGAATAATTATTTATAATTGAATCTCTGAATGTTTTCCAAAATCATAAATCTATATCAGGTTTAATAGTAAACTATATTAAGGTATTTGGCTAATATTTTAACTGCTTAGAGTATTACCATCTGAAAACTCAGGTGGAGGAACTTCCTCAGATCCCTTTTTAGCCTCTACTTGCTCCTCTTTAACTTCAGGATCTTTTGGTTCTAAGTGGTTTTCCACAGCTACAGCCTCTAAAACTTGAGGCTGTATGGCTTTATTCACTGCTTCCTTATTTTCTTCTTCAAATGCTGGCTCATCAAGCTCTTTCCTGATCTCTTTATTTTTGCTCCTCTTGACTTTGCTCTTGAACTGTTTCATCTTTTTCTTTGTTTTGATCTTTATGCTTAGATTTTTTGGATTTCTTTTTCTTTTCAACAATTTCAGGCATCACAAATCCCTCATAATATCCATATTTGAGGTAGAGCATCCCATTTGGATGCTTCTTTCTCCCTTTGATATATTTATTTCTGGGCTTTCTTTGAGTGATAAAGCATAATTTCATCATAAATTAGCTCTTTTTGCTCTTCAATATTGAGGTCATACATCTCAAAATCAAAGTCAAAAGCTGTGACAGAGATGGTAGTAGGCTCGTCTGGTGCATAATGAAGGTCTCCAATGAAATCATGATCAAGAGCCTCTTCAACTGTGATTCTTTTAGCAGGATCATATACTAACATTTTCTTGAGCAAATCTATTGCATCAGGGTCTCAAGAGTCAAAAATTTCATCGAATTTTCCAATTTTATTCTGATTTTTGAGTCTTGTGAAAATATTTTGCATCCTTCCTTCATTATAGACTTGTAAGAACTGCTTATCAGGTTGACCAAGACATGCAACTATGAGTTCGAGTTGGTTCTTTGTGTCATCTCCAGGCAAAAGAGGTTGCCTGAGGATAAGCTCTGCTAATATTCACCCAATGGACCACATATCAACTGCTTCTGTGTATGTCTCTGCTCCTCACAACAATTCTGGAGCCCGATACCATCTTGTAGAAATATAATCTGTCATTGCACCTGATTTAATCATTTGAGGGATATTTGTCCTTGATAATCCAAAATCTCAAATTTTCAAGTCTCAGTTCCCATTTACCAATAAATTCTTGGGCTTTAAGTCTCTGTGAAGAATTCCTGCAGAATGGATATATTTCATCCCTCTGAGGATCTGGTAGGTGAAGAACCTCATATGCTGATCACTTAAATCCTGTTGAGAATTGATAATAGAACCTAGATCTGTTTCCATGATTTCAAATACTCAATAAATATCTAATTTCTCATCCTGTAATGGCTTCTGTATAGTTATTAAGTCGATGACATTTTCATGTGTCATCAGCCGAAGGATTTTAAGTTCTCTTAACGTACGCCTTGTGAAAAGAGGGTGTTCAAAAGCTCTTTCTATCTTATTTTATCGCAACAATTTTTTGACCTCCATCGTTCTCTTTATGATCAATTGCAGCAACTACAGTTCCGTAAGCTCCCGAGCCAAGAGCGTCTATAATTTCGTACCTATTTTCAAGCTTGAGATGGGTTCCATAAACATTCCATGTGGTATGTGTTTCTCCCTCTTCTACCTTAAATTCTTCAGCCTTGTTCATGTTGATAATAATATATTTATATTAGAATGCGAGTATCTCCTTCTGGGGTTTTGGGGTTTTGGGGTTTTGGGGTTTTGGGG